CAGGACAGAACAGAGTTTAGGGCTGTTGTACATAGGGTCGCTATGAGTTGCAAGCAACTCGACGGCACATAACAACAAATAACAACATTACTTCTGTTGCCACTCAGTGAGGCCAGTTAACTGACCTGGGACCTGTGACAGAAAGTGCCTCTGCTTCCATTGGTCTCTGCTGAAGATCCCACCTCCTGTATCTGCTAGGAACACAGTGCAGAAGGTGCCTCATCTTGGTCCTGCTTGTCTTTTATGCATTCTGATCCATCCTGTCCATGTCCAGTCTAAAATTATGGTCTCTTTGTGTAGGTAGGTGGGATGGTGAGCAGATACATAGCACCTCACTGCCCCCCTCGACTCTTTCTGGTTGCCACCTGAGTATTCTTTGCCTACTTGGGGCAGGGCAAGTCTGTTGAGCCTTTTAGATGGGATAGAGCCTGGCTGCAAGGTGAAAGTTGCTTTAGAAAGGGGGTACTGTATTTTATGAATGTGAAACTGCAACAGAGAAAGCTCCTTCCCTCGACATACATGACTCCCCCCTCACTGAAGCTTACCAAGTATGAAGCATTCTCAGAAATTTTTCTGGAGTTCTTTAAGGAAGGATTTGCTGTCAATCTAGAACGACTTACCTGTCTCACCGTGGGTCCCCAGCCTGGCCATGGGTGGCCCTTGGCCTGACAGCAATGTGTTAAGAGGCAGCTTACTGTGCTTGTCACTGAGCAAAGACTAAGTACCTTCGTGCTCTTGACACTTAAGGAAGCACTTGAACTTGAGCGTATTCTTCCGCCCTTTCTGTCAGTAGAGCAGGCCTGTGGGGAGAGGGTGGGTGAATGCCCTTCATTCTGATTGCCAGGAGGAAAAACTGAAGGTTCTGGAAGATTAAGTAGATTTTTGAAGGTCCTGAAAGGCATTTAGCAAATCCCAAACTGGATTGGGTTTGTTTGTTTTCTTTTTCTCTTTGACTCCTGGTTCTTTGTTTGGGTTTGGATTTTGCTTTGGAGGTGGAGAAGAGATGTCTTTTTCAAGATCAGTTAACATTTTAATATCAAAACCAATGGCTGCTTTTGTCAGCTATTAAGAATTGATGCCTTTTTAGAAAACCTAACTCTAGAAGAAAACAATGAGAATGAGAAGAAAGGTTGTTTGCCGCAAGAAACCTCTGAATGCTCATCTCCACCAGAGAATTCTGGGGGGAAGCCATCAGCATAGTCTGCAGAGACATATTTACACAGAGCTAATGCCTAAAATTTTACCAAAAAACATTTTTAAGACAAAAGAAACAATTTAGAGAGAGATCCACTCAAAGGCAGGAAGGAAAAAGGATAGAGTTCACGTTACTGAAGATGTGCAAACCAGAACAGTTCAAAAGTTGTCTACAGGCTCTGCAAGTCACCTAGAAGTTTAAATAAAGTTAGAGTGTCCTTCCCTGAAGACAGAGAGCTGCACAAGCCTTCACGTGCCGGAGGGCTCTGAAGTCATACAGTGAGTTTGCTGAGGTGAAAGAGGAAAGACAAAAGAAAAAGGAAAAAAAAAAAAAGAATTGATGCCTTTGACTTGTGTAGGCGAACAATGTGGAAGAAAAAAGAAAACTGTGGAATATAGCACAGACTGTGAAAAGAACTGGACAGTCTGTTTTGAAAGAAGTGAAGGTGGTGGATCTCTTCACATCCTTTGGACGTTCTATCAGGAGGGGCTAGTCCCTGGAAAAGGACACCATGCTTGGAAAAGTAGACATTCAATAAAAAAGCAAAACCCTTAACTGGAGGAATTTTGCTGCAGTGACTGCAACAGTGGACCTGAGTCTTTGAGATCGTAAGGATGGCCAGGGTAGGGCAGGGTTTTGTTGTTCATAGGATCTCTGAGTCAGCCTACTCAACGTCACCTCACAACAAAAGGTGGTTGTTGTTATGTGCCGTCGAATCTCCTGTGACACAGTGATTCTATGTACAACAGCCCTAAAATCTGCTCTGTCCTTTGCTAATCTTACTGTCTCTGATAGACCTACCCCCATTACCAGTCACTGAATCAATCCATTTCCTCAAAGGTCTTTCTCTCCTGCACTGTCCCTCTACCATCTCAAGCATGATGTCCCTCTCCAAGGACTGGTCGCTATTTGCAACATGTCCAAAGTATGTCAGATGAAGCTTCAGAATCCTTGCTTCCAAGGAGCAGCCTGGCTTTACCTTCTCCAGGATGAACTTGTTCATTCTCTTAACAGTCCATGGTATATTCAGTACTCTTCTCCAACAACACAGCTCAAAGCACACTCTGGTAGCCCAGTGGCAAGAAGCTGCTTTGCAGCCTGAAGGTACAGAGTTCGAAGCTACCATCTGCTCCACTGGAGAAGGATGGGCAGTTTCCTCCTGTACAGTTCACTGCCTCTGAAAACCCGCTGGAGGGTCAGCTTTGGGTCGGTTCTGACCCGACAACACAACAACAGTTTATCAGTTTAATCCAAGCTGTCATCATCATTATTCTCTCTCCCCCCTGCCCTTCTGCTGCCTTTTACCCAAGAGCCTTCTCTCTTAGCAGTTAGAGATCATTGAAACAGAGCAGGCCATGTCATAGCGCTGCCGCATTCTCTTCCCCGCCTTCTGTCTTTTGTGGAGGAGAGGCCTTCCATGCTGTTCATTCAATCCTTCAGCAGCCTTTCTCTCTGCCCTCTGACCTGTCTCTCTCTCTCTCTTCCTCTCCATTCTTACAGACTCCTTGTCATTTCCCACGTAGGCCAAGCTCACTTCCCACCAGATCTTTGCTTCTCTCTGAAACGTTTTCCCCCCAGGTTTTGCCTTGCCCCTTACTCTGGCTGCCATCAGATCCCCGCGCACACGTTCGTTTACTCTGAGGCCTCTCCTACCTCCGCACCACAGCCCCCCAGCCTGATTGCCCAGGCATGTCCTTCCCCCCTTGCTTGACTGTGCTGTGTCTTCTTGGTTAATTACCACAGTCTGACAAATTAAGCTCTGTCTCTTCCCTTTCTAGTACACACCACAGGAGTAGGCAGCCAGCACCGAGAATAGTTTCTGGCATAGTGTAGATAGAGGATAAGATGCTGGAAGATTAACTGGTGATTTGTTCGTAATGGTGTCAGTGCCACTGTTGAAAGGAGGTGGCGTGTGAGAGTGAAAATTGCATCATAAAGGTCTGGGCTATGCCACATGCGGTTGTTGTTGTTGTTATGTGCCGTCGAGTCACTTGCAACTCATAGTGACCCTATGTACAAGAGCTCTAAACTCTGCTCTGTCCTGTGCCAATCTCGTTGTCTCTGACACACTCATCCCGATTGCCCCAGCTACTGAATCAATCCACCTAATAGAGGGTCTTGCCCTCTTGCGCTGTCCCTCCACCATCCCAAGCATGATGTCCTTCTCCAAGGACCTCTCCCGCCTCACAACATGCCCAAAGTATGTCAGATGAAGTTTCAGAATCTTTGCCTCCAAGGAGCCTCCTGGTTTAACCCACTCCAGGATGAGTCTCTTTGTTTTCTTAGCAGTCCATGGTGCCCTCAATACTCTTCTCCAACACCAAAGCTCAAAAGCATCAATTCTCCTTCTATTATCCCTGGTCGTTGTCCAGCTCTCTGAAGCATAACAAGAGATTGCAAAGACTGTGGCCTGTACCAGACACACCTTAGTCTCCAGAGACACACCGTTGCGCTTCAGTACTTTAGAGAGGTCCCTAACAGCAGACTTTCCCATCGCAATAGGTCTTTTAATTTCCTAGCTGCTGGTGCCGAGGGTGTTGATTGTGGAGCCAAGCCGACTAAAGCTGTGAACAATCTCAATCTCTTTACCATCTATCCTGATGCTGCTAATTGGTCCAGTGGTGAGAATCTTTGTCTTCTTGACCTTGAGCCTCAATCCATACTGAAGGCTGCAGTCCTTGACCCTTTGCAGCAAGTGCATGAGGTCCTCCTCAGTTTCAGCAAGCAGGGTTGTGTCATCTGCATAACGTAGATTGTTGACAGATCTTCCACCAATCCTGATGCCTCATTTCTCCTCATAGAGCCCAGCCTCCCGGATGATCTGTTCTGCAAACCCGGAATGACAGTACTCCCTTTCAAGGCTGGTTGTAAGTTACCATTAAGTCTTTGCCTCATTGCAACCCCAAGTACAACAGCTTGAAAGCTGCTCAACCCTGTGTCATGTTATAACATCTGAAGTTCATCGGTACAGTCACTGTCCATCATTGAGGGTCATCTCCTTTGCTGACCCTCTGCCTTTCCCAGCTTGATGTGCTTTTCCAAACAGTGGCCCCTCCTGGCAATGTGAAGAGTATGTGAGATGAAGTTTCACTATCTTTGCCTCTAAGAAGCATGCAGGTCGCACTTCCTCCCACAGAGATGTTCTTGTTGTGGTGCTTCATACATGCAGCACCGCTCTGTGCATGCAACACCACCATGCAAAAGCATTGCTTCTACTTTGGTCCTTATTTGCTGCCCCACCTTTCATGCTTGCAAGGCTTAGGGATGTCGTTGCTGGTGTTTATTTACTGAGAGCTGGAAGTAACTTGTGAGCAAAAACTGCTCTGAGCAACTGCTGTAACTGCCTGACTTGTGAGTGTCAGTGCTCACAGTTGACCCAAAATGGTAGTTTCTAGGAGCCTGACTTGGAACACATTTCCATTCAAGATGTGCTTTCTGCCGCCTCTGTCGTGTCACGTGTGTCGCCGTCAACTTACATCTTTGATAACATGTTGAGATTTAGCATGAAATTCTCAAAGTCATGAAAAGCTCAAGAAGCTGAATGGCAGCCTAACAAAGCTTTGAGCTCATACACTAATCACTGTTGATGTTTTCCCCCCCCTTTAGTGTCACCCAGAGGATCGGAGAGCTGACAGCAGCTGTGTTCGGGGGCTGTGCATTGTGCTGTGGCGGTGTCTGCAGAACGACTTGAGACCGCCCTCTGGTTGCAGCCTCTGACCACCTGGCCAAAGACCGTGCTGAAGGATGGGCCCGGAGAATTTCATCACATGAGGCTGCTCCAGATTGTAGCATCTGCTTTCCAGAAATGCAGATAAAGAAGATGAAGGATCCCGGACATTCATTATACACCCCACAGGTGAATGAAAGACATAGCTCGGTGACCATGTCACCCAAGCAGCCTAACACCAATAAGATGACTCAACCAGAGAGACAAGATGCTCAGGCGCTGTTGTACCCGGGCACAGAGAGCGAGGCTGCCATGGTGACCGTTGCTACCTGTGTAAAATGCAAGAATGTCCACAAAGTACTCCTCCAGGACTTCCTCAGGGGTCCCGGCCAAAACCCCAAAGATGATACCTACGTCTGCTTCCAGTGCAGCCTGGGTGTGCCCCCTCCTCCCTTTCATTTCATGAATGGCAATTCCGGGGTCGCTCACATTAGCAGTCAAGCTGCAACCATAGCCAGCCCTCTGGCGAATAAATTCAAAGCCAGGAACTACAACCCCGACAAATACTATTGTGACAAGTGCCGGTTCTCCACCAAGGACCCCTTGCAGTACAAAAAGCACATGCTGCAGCATGATGAAATCAAGTTCATCTGCTCACACTGTAGCCACATCTCATACACCAAAGGCGCATTCCAGCGACACCTGGTGAAGCACACAGGTGTCTTCCCTTACCAGTGTGAGTACTGTGAATATGGGGCCATCCGCAATGACTACATCGTCAAGCACAGAAAGAGAGTCCATGAAAAGGACGGGGACAAACGCTCACCCAAGACCATCACCAAGTCAGAGCCGAAAAGGACCAGCACCTCTAAACAATACTCCGAGCCCCTCAGAACGTCCAGTGTGAGGGCCACCTTTCACAACAGGCTGTCAGACCAGCTTTCCCGGTTCTCCCTCCATGCCAACAAAGGCAAAACACCCAACATCACATTGTTGCCAGAAGCCAAGGAGTCCCAGAAGGACGTGGTGTGTATCCCTAACAAAGTGACTGTGTCTGAGCCAGGTGACACCAGTGTGTTTGAGAACAAGAACGTGGAGGTGGAGGTGCTGTCCCCCGCCAAGGAGCCCGTTCAGCCTGGCATGCCACTGACTGTGGTGGCACCTTCCGAGCTTGTCGTCCCTGCCAACTGTTTAGCCCAGCTGTTGGACGTGAAGGTGGTCAACGGGACACAACAGGTGGTTCTGAAACTCTTCCCTCTGGAAGAAAACAGTTGCCTCGAAGCTGGTGTGGGTGGGGCAGGAAATTCGGAGCTGGCAACCAGAGAAAAGGTTGCCAGCGAGCAAGGGGAAAACGTGGCCTCAGAACAGACATCATCATCACCAATGGAGGACAGAGGTGGCAAGCTAGCAGGACTTGATCCTCTCCAGTCCTCCATGCACAAGCAGGTGAGAAATGTGCAGTGGGCCAAGTCTTACGATTTCTTCTCACGTGAGACCAGCAGGCGCCAGGGGGACTCCTTCCTGGACTGGAAGGGAGTGGAGGGCCTGCAGAAGAGGAACAGTCCCCATCCACACAGGACTGCACCACCTGCACCAGTGGCCTTCAAAGCACATGGCCCACCGCCCATAGTGAAAACCAACCTTCTTTGTGGCCCTGGAACTGCATCCAGTCTTTTCCCATATAAGGATGCAGTCCCATTCCCAGAAGATGGGTGGAGTTCACACCGCAGCCCCCATCCCTTGCTTCCTCTCGCCTCCCGACCTACAGCCACCTCCTTCCGACCTGCAGCCACCTCCTTCCGGGGAGAGAGGGGTGCAGTAAGTAACAGTGACTTGGAATCCCGAAGTGAGCTCAGCATCCCACTAAAGATTCTTTCCTCCATCAGGAAGGCTGGGCGCAGCTGGCCAGAGGCAGCCCTGGGTGTCAGCCAGCTCTCTTCTCCTCACGAGAGTGAATGCTTACACATAAACCTGGGTGGGAAAGATAGGCTCCGAGGCCAGCCTGAGGAGAAGAAGCCCCTGGAATTCAAGAGTCCTGAGAGAAGCGCCAGCCGCTTCGAAGGCCCTGTCATCTCGTCGGTCTTCTCTCTCAGTTCTGGCTCTGAAAACATTCCTGAAGGCATCAAGTGGAATGGCGCCACCTCCAAGATCAAGTCAATCGAAATGTTGCGCAGAAAGATCGCCCAGCTCATCGAGTCCTGCGGTAAGCCCTCGTCCCTGACCACAAACAGCATCCACCGCCGTTCCGCGGGGCCGCTGGCCAAGACCGCTTCAAAGGCCGTCTCAGAAAGTACCCAGGATGTGAACATGGCAGCTCCCAGCTCAGGCTATCCCGCTGGTCCTCTGCAGAAATCCTGGGATGGTGGCACGGTTGGCACACAGCTCCCTGGGGAGCAGGTCTCCCCACAGTTTGTCGAGAGTAGGAAGGCTCCTGTCGCTGCCCCGGTGTTGATCCCTAAAGGGGCTGTGCTGAGGGTTCTCCACTCTTCCGAGGATGCGCGTATCATAGAGGCTACGTGTGAAGCTCCTGTCATACCGTGCGATGAAACACAGATGGTGAGTCCCCTCCCATTCCTCTCGGTGAAGCAGGCAGACTTGAGTTTACAAACAAGTGACAGCGGACCCATCGACATGTCCCAGAATCCAGAGACACTTCCCCGGCTGAAGCCCAAAAGAGAGAGCTCTGTCTGTGGCACCACTGCCCCCAGAAAGGCTGCACCCCTACAAGGGCCCCAAGGAAGCAGCGAGCGGAGCAAGCCAGGGAAACTGCTTTCCAGAAATCTTGCCGTAAGTCGAAGAAAGACCAAACAAACGAACTCATCCAGGAAGAAAAACAAGCTGCAGGCTGACCCCAGCCACTATCTCAAAGACCCCTCCATTTTTCAGGTGGCCAGACAGCTTCGCCTGGTTGCCGTGAAACCAGACCAGCTGATCAAATGCCCCCGGCGGAACCAGCCGGTCATTGTGTTGAACCACCCCGACGTGGACTCTCTGGAGGTGACTAATGTGATGAAGGTCATCAACAAGTACAAAGGCAACGTCCTCAAAGTTGTCCTGTCTGAGCGGACCCGGTGCCAGCTGGGCATCAAGCGCCATCAGGTGCGGCTCACTTATCAGAACTCGCAGCAAGCCAACCAGATCAAAAGGCAGTTGATGCTGAAGATGAAGCTGAAGAAGGTCCATAAGAACAACGACCAGATGGTGGAGACCTTGCCTGATGACTCTTCACAGTGTGTGTTTAAGTGCTGGTTTTGTGGGCGGCAGTACGAAGACCAGGAAGAGTGGATGAGTCACGGCCAACGGCACTTGATTGAAGCAACTCGAGATTGGGATGTCCTTTCCTCCAAGGGCAAATAATCAGTGAAAAAGCCAAGATGAGCCTTTGAATCAAGTTGTTTCTCTTGCTTACGGTTTGTGCTGGTTCACCTCTCCTCTCCCTTCCGTTCCCACAGTTCCTTAGGAGAAATCCAATCTGTATAGGGATGGGAGAGTTCTTCCTATCTCCTCTAGGAATATTGGATGTCAGGAGCCTTAACTCAAGATAGGGGCCCGAGCTCAGGAAGGTGTTCAGAGCTCCTCCAATTTTATGCACAAACATATGTCCATGGTTTTTTGTTGGGCTTTTTTTGTTGTTGTTGGTTTGTTTTAAGAGACTGTATGAAACTTTGAGTAGATTTTCAGGGAGACCTGAAACGTCTCTTTAGCACCCCTTTTTTCAGGGTAGCTATAGGTCTTTCCTAGTCCATAGAGAGGGATAAATTTAGAATGTTCTACTCATACTCTTTATATAAGAAAATGCTACTGAAGAATTAAACTAATTCTCTGTGTCCACTTCCACTCTGTTTCTGCTTTTTCGTGTCATGTCTCTTAAACAGGTGATGTGTAATGGAAATGGTATTTTCTGTTTTATTAGCTTAAATTTGGTTGCAGGAAAACATGACCCTTCTTTGAGATCTCTGCCCCTTTCTGTAATGCTCAGAAAGGTACTAAATAATACAGCACGGAGAATCTTGCCTTTGTTAGCCATTGCTAAGGCTCTGTGGGTAAGCCTGGATTTATCAACGCCACAGCAGGTGTTAGGAGAGGTGAAAAAAAAAACCCTTTACAAGCATTTAGTTTTGCTTTCTTACAAAGCATCTTGATTTATGATGACAGAGAAGGGAATGTGCCTTCTTGGGGGATAAAAAAAGATCAAGAAGAGGAGAAATAAAAAATGAAATCTCCTTTGCCCTTACTGGTCCCACAACCACAAGTGACCGAGTTTCTTCCTAGGACAGATCCCACTTGGTATGAGAAGTCAAGGCTGGATTCTGCAGGACGTTTTGATGGAGTTCACTGTGACTTGATTTTGCTAGGTGAAAACTAAGGTTTCCTTTCCAGAGCCCTTGGTAGAGTGCACATTCATCATCTTGTTTTACCTTGGTTGTCATTTGAGTGAGAGTTTACAAAAACAACTTGGTTTCCTATTTATCTTGGTCACTTTGGGGTTTGGCAGCCCCCACCTCCCTTTGGGTCATATCCTGGTCCTTCTTTGCCATTAACAGTCACTGGTAACAGGAATCCATGTGGAGCCTATTCCCTTGGAAGACAGTGTTTCTGCTAACATTCTGCCCCTCTCTTCTTGTGCCTTTGAGGTTCTTCCTGAAATGACGAGAAGGGGCCAGGTATCCGCCTGCCATCTTGGCTAAGGCTGTAGAAACACTGCTCCTGGTCTTCGGCTTAACAAGCTGGTTCTGCTTTATCTAAGCCCACCTGTTCTAGGGACACCCCTCTGCCAGAGCTCCTTCCCACCCCCTCCCCACCAATTCCTCTTGGAACTGAGCTCAACATCTGTCCAGCACCCCAAACCACCTCTCTGGATTCTTGCCACTTCTTGGGCTGATGATATGGCCAGTGTACCTTGGACTAGTTCTTGGTGTTCACTTGGCTCATGCAGGGAGATTCCTGCTAGAACCAGGGACACAACCACAAAACAGCCTCAGCTCCTTTGTTTGCCTGTCACCAAATACTGTCCCTTCCTTGGGGCCTTATTTGGTGCTGAAAGTGAAACAAGGAGCTGGTCTATCTGGAAACTAGTGATACTTCTGTCCTTTTGATTATTCAAGTAGAGATAGCCACCTGGCTGGCTTTCTTCCCTACTTGGGTAAAGCTTAGATTGTAATCATTTTTTATTCTTACTCAGATCAGTATTTCTCATAGATGATTCAGTATATCATCAGGTTGATTGGCTAGATTTTCTTGAAATTTAAAAACTTGCTTTAAGTTATGTATGTGTCATACATATAAATATTTTTTATCATATAGAAATAACAGTAGCTAATTTTCTAATTTCCTGTTTTATAATGACACATGGGCTGGAAAGATATGTAAAACTTTTTTATATTCTAGAAATAATTTATTTTGCAAGTACCTTTTTTATAATAGTCTGATCTCATTTGTAGGGGAAATTTAAAAAAGCACAGGAAGCAATGGGTCTGGTCTGTTTGAACAGACAGGAGCAGGAAGCCCAGTGGATCACTTTGTTAATTGGTTTTTGTTCAATTTCAGTTGTTGCTTTTGGGGAGATGGGCTTTTTCTTCACAACGTAATAGAGAGGGTTCCAAAGGTTTATCCACATAGAAATTGGAAATCCTTCTGTAGGAAGGAAGACTCCCAAGATGTGGAGAGAAGGAGAGAGCCAGTGATTTCTTTTCTTCTGCCTACCTCTCCCCTCTTGGCAGTATCTCCGCTAAAAGGCCAGGTTGGCCAGTGGGTCAGTGCTAAGTGTCGACATGAGATGTTTACACTTTGCAGCAAAAACTCTTTAAGTATTACCCAAAGCCCCACTTTATGGAGCTAAATTGTCTAAGTAGAGAGAATGTAGCAAATCTGTTAAGGACATCTTCAGAATGTCGGTAGTTTATAAAGGAACTGCAAGGATGTCTGAAAGTAAAAAAATGGGAAAGTGAAAAGCATTGAGCCTATAAAACAAGCTTTGGAAAATAGTGTGTTAACAGATAGGTAAATGTCATGAACATATTTTTAATAAAACTTGAGTAGGAGCTGAGTATTTGTATCCTCTTAATTTTAAAAGATCTCTACCACATTTTATTAATAGTTATTGAGAAAACAATATTAAAACTTGTTTTTTTAAAATAGGTTTTCTTGCTTTTTTGAGGGGGAGAGAATCTTACAAGATGTCTGGCACACAGGCACAAATAGCAGTGACTCAGAAATGTGCTTTAATAGATTATATTTTATCCTCGAGTTCGAGACATTTTAGGAGCCTCTGGTATGAGCCAGATGTTTGTTGAACCAAATCAAACACAATATACGAAACTGCAGAAGCTCCAGCCCTCTTCTTTAGAATATACATTTGGCCCTCCACCTCTGTGATTTCTGAATTTAATGAATCACAGATTGAAAATGTTCTTTAAAACGCAATTTAACTGGTCGCAGCAACCTCTCAAAAGTTAAGAGGGAGCATTTGCATCGTATTAGGTATTAAAAGTGATCTTGAGATGATTTCAAGTCTGTGGGAGAGGTGTGTGTTGTGTTCAAGGACCATGCCAGTTTGTACAAGGGACTTCAGTGTCACTGGATTTGGGTCTCCAGGTGGTCCTGCAACCAGACCTCAGCCAGTACTGCACAGTGATGGCATACAAGCCATCCCAGAAGATGGAGCACTGTCATTCTTCCCCTGGGATAACTTCTGAAGCCCCAAATGTTCATATGAATGAGCAGAAAACAAAACATTGCTTAATAGGTTTAAGCATTGTAAGTTTTATGTTAATATTCTGTGTGTCTGCTGCTCCAGTTTAGAAATGGAAGCTTGTGTATAGATACAGAGATGTTGACGTACATTTTTGTTAAATAAACCATCTGCAAAGTTTTTGTCTGCCCTTCTTATTTCAAATGCCAAGCAGGACCGCAGTGCATCACACAGCATCATGCGTCACATTCCTGAGCCACGTATCATGCCACACAACAGAAGCTATTTGAATTCCTCGAGGTTAAATTTTGAATTTGGTGTGCTGGCAACTTATCATACATGCCCTAAATTAAGGCCACATTTCTTTTTGTTTTTTGTTACGTGCTTTTGAGTCACCTGCGACTCATTGTGACCCTATGTACAGCAGCTCTGAAACTGTGTCCTGAGCCAGTCTCACTGATCCTGACACACCTACCCCCATCACCCCAGGTACTATATAAGTCCATCTCATCCAGGGTCTACGTCTCCTGCACTGTCCCTCTCTAAGGACTGGCCTCCCCTGGCCCTGTGCTCAAAGTATGTGAGATGGAACTTCAAAATCCTAGCCTCCAAGGAGAAACTTTATTTCACCCTGTCCAAGACTGACTTGTTTTCTTGGCAGTCCATGGTAAGTTCAAGACTCCTCCAGCATGACAACTTGAAGGCATCAGTAATTCTTGTCATCCTTTGTCACTGTCCAGCTCTCTGATGCATGGCAAGTAATTGCAAAGACCATGGCCTGGATCAGGTGCACCTTCGTCTCTAGACTGACGTTGCTTTTTAGTATTCTAGAGAGGTCCCTGACAGCAGAAATTTACAGCGCCTATTTTTCTACCATGGTCAGTGACTCAGGAGAGGGCACTTACTTAGCCTTTCCTAAATGTTTACTCTTACAAGCAACGGTGGGTTAGGACCTCGGGGGAAAGAGTTTTCAAACTGTGGTTGTAGGGTTAACTTCACCTATCAAACTGGACTCACATGCACTGTTGGAAAGGGGGAGGATGAGAATATTTGACAAGGAATTGATATTATGTTATCTCATTCCTGAGACCCAAAGGGTCAAAATAAAAAAAAGAATTGGAGTTGAGGTGAGTAGTAGCAGATTTTGGATGCTAAACAAGACAAAAAAAAATGAAAGAGAGGAGTTGTTTGGTTGATAAATATGTTATCTGAGTCTTGCTAAGTTGTTATCCTCTGGAATCCTACAGAATTAGTTTGATGTGTTGTTACCTCTTTTTATATAATGCTATAATTGGAAGCGGGAGTGGCATCCACTTCCTAAAACAAATGCCTCCAGAAACTATGAATTTTGATAAGTGGTGATAGTTACAGAAAGGTTTCAGGTATTTTGTATATGGGGTCACTATGAGTTGTACTTGCCTGGAAGGCAATCAACAATAATATGCATTTGTTGTTGTTATGTGCCGTCAAGTCGCTTGCGACTCACAGCGACCCTCTATGTACAACAACCCTAAACTCTGCTCTGGTTTGTGCCAATCACACTGTCTCTTGACACTCCCATCCTGATTGCCCCAGTCACTGAATCAATCCACCTCATAGAGGGCCTTCCCCTCCTGCGCTGTCCACCTTCCCAAGCATGATGTCTCTCTCCAAGGACTGGTCTCTC